CCACCGCACCGCCATTCATAACGTGGGATCTGTTTAGATCGGCTTCCCTCGGAACAAAGGAGCCAGATTAGCCCTCGCACTTGAAAGGGGCAGATCGGGGCTGCTGCTGCTTCCTACGTGAGTGCTGGGAGGCGAATCCCCGGAGCAAAAGGGAATCCAGGAAAATAATAGTAGTGGTGATTCATCTGTGTCTGACATCTGAGCATCCAGGGACCTGCTGCCGTGTCATTACTGCGCCCCAGGTCTTGAGTGGATTCCACAAGCTGCAGGCTCTGGGCTCTGTTCACCTCAATAGTTTTGTAAATTCCTTGCTCCTTTACGGACTCCAGAACATAAATGTGCACCCCCTCACCCATGGATTCATCATCCTTGGAGCCCCAGGAGCTGCAGGGTTTCACAGTACCCACTCAGGTGGTTATCTCACAAGGCCAGCACCTTCACTGGTGTTTCCTGGTAGGGGTGTGATGCCTCGTGTTTTACAGGAGGGCTCTGAGAGCGCAACTGGAGGGCAGGATTGGTGTCTGTGTCTGGAGATGGGCTCATCCTGCTCTTACTGCCAGCAGGATTTAACCACGTTCGGTACAACAGACCTGAGCCTGTCCTTGGCTCCACTTACAGAAGTTGGATTGGGAGTAAGTTCAGTTGCGCTGGTTAATGCCAGAATAAACCACTGGACCTTGGCAAAGGCTTTGCTGCTTTGGAGAGCCATGAATCTCCATGTAATGCAAAATCCACCATATTCACAGTGCCTTACTACCTGTCTCACAGAGACCTTGCCCAAACAACCTATTCATCAGAACCTGAAATAATGCTTTCTCTGTCCGTGTCTGACTTGATAAACCACAGTTTCCCTTGGCTCAGCCTGTAAAAAGTGCTTCCATGATCACAAAAGCAGATCTTTTTCTAATAAGGTATATCCACTGCATAAAGTTAATTCTGGCCTTCCTGAGGTGCTGTAAAGCAGCAGAAGGTGGATGCTGGCACGTTTCAGCACTAGGAAAACAATGTGTGTAAAAAACCTGATGTAAATCCATTGCTTTGGGGGGAAAAATGCTTTTCCATGATAGTTTAGCCTCATTTAAGTGATTATAACAGGCTCTGCACAGGGGAAGCTACACTCATCCCAGAATAGTAAATAAACCAAACTGGTGTGGGCAAGTTCAGGATCCAGGCAGTGCTGATGGAGCAGCCTGACACGGGGGCTGTGAGCCAGCAACCCTGGGCTCACCTCAGAACTCTTTCAGCACAGCCCCAGGTGGACACCAAGGTTTGAATCACAGGAATTATTTGCTTCCCTGTGAGTGCCATCACGAGAATTGGTCCTTCTCTCTGACAGCAGAGTGCTCGGTGATCCAAAGTGCAAAGGTGTTGGTGGGAGGGCAAAGGGGCAGATCCTTCCCTCTGAAGGGAGCAAAGGGAACCTTCTGTGTGTCCCCATCCAGTCAAATATATCCCAGACACTTTCCTTCAGCATCCTGGGCAGCCTTAAGCACTCTGCTCCTGAGATGTCCAACTCCATAAAAATGACTTTGTTCAACATAAATTGAGAGTTCCCCTTTGTGTCTGTCTGACCCAAAGCATTGCTAGTCAATGGGAGTGTTTCCATTTGCACCATATCCATAGGGATCATTTTGCCCCTATTTTTCCCATGTGTTTTTGCTCTGCTTTGACTTTGGATCCCCAGAAAGCATTCTCTTCCACAGGGAAGTTTCCAGCTTTGCTTAAAAAAAAAAAAAAAAAAGAAGGGCAATTTCTTTTACTCTCTGTTTGCTAAAGGAAGGTTTATTTTCTTTAATGCTTTATATTTTTTTCCAGTTTCTGTCCTGAATTTTTCAGTGCTGCTGGATGCTACAGTGCTGGTGTGAAGTTCAACCTCTGCTCTGTGTTTTGATGGAGAACACAATATAAAGCACGAAATCTGTGATGGAAAGGTAAGCAGTTATTAAATTATATTTATCTTCGTATTCCCTGTTGGTCTAAGATCCACCAGTGCAGCCAACCCTTTTCTTCTTTGGTGATTGCATCAGGTTTAAATTTTTTCTAAGCTCCTCAGACCAAAACTCAAACACTTCAGCCCAGTGAGTAACAGCATTTCCTAATCCATGGTATTTTGCCATTTCTTACATCAGGAAATGCCCCGTTGCGCGATAACCGTCCTCAGACCCAGCGCTGTGAGGATTTTTGTGAAATCCCTCACTTTGGGTCAGCGCGCTGCTGGGGTTGGGGGGGGGCGGGACGGGACGGGACTTTTTTTGGTGTGGCAACAGCGGTGTCCCCACCGGCCTCAGCAGCAGCACCCGAGCCCTCGTGTTTGGCGACGTTTTACTCCTAAATTATCAAAGTGTGCCCAAAAAACACCAGGGAGCCGCCCACGCACGACCCCGGGCCGGCACCCGTGTATGGGGTGCGGGAGCCGGGGCAGAGGGTGCGGGAGCCGGAGCCAGGCGATGCGGAGAAGCCGTCCCGGGGCCGGGCGATGCGGGGGCGCCGTCCCGGTCCCGCGGGTTCCCGGCCAATGGCTCCGCTCCGCGCACTCCCCGCCCCGCTCGCCCCATGTGCAGAAATAGCCCCGCCGCCGCCGGCAGCGGCTTTTCCGCGGGGAGCGGCGGCAGCGGCGGAGCATCCCGGGCGGAGCATCCCCGGCAGGACCATCCCCGGGAGAACCATCCCCGGCAGGACCGTCCCCTGGCCCGGCCCGTCCCGGATGGCCCCGCGGCGGGTCCCGGCGGCGGGCGGGCGGTGAGCGGAGCCCCGCGGGCGGATGCCGGGCGGGGGCCGGGCGGTGCGGGCAGCGGGGGGCCGCGACCCGGGGCTCGCCGCGCCCCTCCGGCCCCCCACGGCCCCGGAGATGGGCGTTTGGCTGCCCCGTGGCTTGTTGGTACCTGCGGGAGGGCGCCCGGTGGAAAGTCCCTTCCCTTCATGAGCAGCTCCTGCTCCTCGCCCCGGGCTCTCGCCATGGACACTATGAAAACCACCTACATCGTGCTGGAGCTGATCATCGCCGTGCTGTCCATCGCTGGCAACGTCCTGGTCTGCTGGGCCGTGGCCATCAACAGCACCTTGAAGAACGCCACCAACTATTTCCTGGTGTCCCTGGCGGTGGCTGATATCGCCGTGGGCTTGTTGGCCATCCCTTTTGCCATCACCATCAGCATTGGATTCCAGGTGGATTTTCACAGCTGCCTCTTCTTCGCCTGCTTCGTGCTGGTGCTGACACAGAGCTCCATTTTCAGCTTGCTGGCCGTGGCCATCGACAGGTACCTGGCTATTAAGATCCCGCTGAGGTAAGAGACTGGAGTGGATGCAGCAGCCCCACTCCCTGACAGCCCAGGGTCTGATCTTCCTTCTTTTAGTGTTCAGGAACTTCTAGTCTCAAGAATGTTGTTGCTCACAGGTGATGATGAAAATAACAGAGATTTTGGACTCAGCTGCCTCGGGACTGGGATCAGTTTCCCGCCTCTTACCTCAGTATACACCTGGAAGCTCAATTCCTTCAGGATGTTTTTCTTGGGAGGGTCAGTGGTTTCTTGGCAGGGGGGGGGCATGGAGTGTTGTAATGGTGTGTTTGGGATAGTTGTAGCTAATCTATATAGGTATTCATACAGCCCCCTTTATTGTGGTGTGCAGGCATCTCCCACGTAATTAAATGTAGGAGCAGCCACTCTTTCTCCTACTTCCTACTGTGAAAGGGAAGGATAAAGTGTGCACATGTCAGATCTCAGAATTTTACAGTTCAGACTTCCATCCAAGTGCAGCATCAAAGACATTATTTGGTTTCCTTGTAATTCATGGGAACCTGAATTATAATGGGGAAAACTGTATGGAATATAACTTACAGACACCCCACCAGTGAGCTGCTGCAGCAGCTTCCTTAAGCTTAAGTGCACCAAAACCCCGGCTTTGCATTGTAAGCGACCCGAGTTCCTTATTCTCAGCCTCCTTCGTGTCTCATTTATCCCTCCCTGAGAATATGACATTGATGGACCCCCCTGGGGAGTCCAGAACGTCTCCAGGGACTGGTCAGGAGCAGAGGCTGTGGGGGAGCAGGGCAGATGTGGTGTGGGGACCTCAGCTGAACTCTGTTAGCTGCAGCTTTCCTGAATTCCGCCCGTCTCTGGCACCTCCTTTGCACAAGCGATGGATTCACCTTAAAATGACTTAAAAGCCCCCACCTCCCAATATTAATTGGTCACCAGGCAGATGATCAGAACTGGCAGTGGAAATGCGTGGCTGGGTGTGTCACTCGAGCGCGGTGTGTGGAAATTCCGGGGCGTGCAGAGCACGTGGGGGCAGATCTGCAGCCGAGCTCGGAGCAGGGCAGGTTGTTTCCAGCACCCCCATCCCTGGCTCTGACCTTCCCAGCCACCTGACTGGGCTTCCAGACCCACCTTGGCTCCGGATAACGCTTTGGTGCCTCTTCCTTTCGTTGGTTTTGGGCTTTCTCGGGACGGGGGGTGGCGGCAGGTCAGGGGTTCTGAAGTTAGTTTAGTCATACCCCCAGCCACAAGCTGTCAGGCTGGGCTGTAACTCTCTTTTTGCACCACAAGCTGTCAGGCACGGCCGTGGCTCTACCTTTGCACCACAAGCACTTTGTGCAACTGAGGAAACGGAATGTGGTGAGAGGGGCTTGTGCTCCGCGGGGATCTCACGCTCTGAGGGGGCCGTTCGTGGGTTTGCAGAAGGGAGGTGGTTCTGCCAGCTGACAAAATGGCAAGTATTTTCCTCCACTCTCTTTTTTCGTTCCCCAGTCCTGCTCTCAGGTTTGCTGGACTCTCCCTGAGGGCGGTTCATCCCAGGGCACTTCGGCCTTGCCTCGGGATCCTTTCCCAGCCATCGCTTTCTCACCCCGTCTCCCGCCAAATCTTTTATTCCATTTGCACAAACATCTTTATTCCTGTGAGTGCTTTCTAGCTGGACACAAATGGAGACCAAGCAGTCCCATCCTGGGCTGTCTGAAGTGCGAAGTTTGGATTAAACTTGGTCTTGGCACCGAGATCCATTTCATTGCTCTCAGAGGGGACCAGCGAGTAAAAGTCCTTTCAAAGGAGATTTAGGGACTGGTACTGATAGGGTTTTTGGCTGTATAGCCAAGATCAAAAGAGGATAGGGGAGGTTATAAAACTACAAAGGCAAAGCACTTCTCCACCAGGGTTTTCCAACCAAGGCTTGGTTAGAGCTGCCTCATCAGCACTGTTATTCCTGAGATGCTCCAAGGTACTGCTGGCAGTGAGGGGGGAGGAACTTGTCCCACCACCTGCTCCAGGTAGATGCACGTGCCATTTCTAGGAGGAGGTTTGTGCTGTGGGAAGGGAGAACTGATCATCAGTTTGTAAGAAAGGAGACCTTAGGAAAAGTTTTTCTCATTCAAACACTCACTCTGGAGGCCAGTGCAGAGGCTGATACCAGTGCATGAAGTATTAAACGTTTAAGAAAATGATTTGTGCCCAGCCCTATCCAGCAATTACAATAAATAACGAGATTGTTGCAGAGCAGATAAGTGTCCCTGTCACATCCAGAGCACCATCAGCTCCCCATGGAAACCTCGACAGGGACATTAAGGACTGTCTGTGCCATATTATTTAATGCTCTTTCAGAGCTGTTTGAGGCTGCTGAGAGGCTGGGCAGGGGTGAGCAGCAGAACTTGCATTACAGCCAGGCTAGTAATGGATTTTTCAGTTCTGTGGCTGAACCGAAAAATCCCAAGGGGAAGAGGAAAATTGTTTCAGTCAAACTGGAACAACAATGTTTGGAGGTTTCAGTGAAACAAAGTGATCCTGACCAACCTGGCAGATTTTGGGTTGAGTTGTTTAACCCTTCTTATGTGGCTGTGCTGCTCTTCGAGATGGGTCGCCCTCGCTGGGGAAGGAACTGACAACTCCTCATCTAGAGAACTGCAGAACAAAAATCTTATTTTAAAATGGTCGTTTAGGACCCTCCCTCTTCTGGCTAAAAATATTTGCTGAATTTGACCTGAAGCCACGAATTCCTTCTGTCCCTTGGAACTCCTATTTTGTTTGTTTGTTTTTGATGAGTTTACTCTTTGTGGAGAAGCCCCCGCCCGCGCTGCCCACTCCGTGCAGCTGCAGCTCCGAGCCCTTCCCCGGGTCCCTTGTCCCCAGCCATCACACCAGGATGCAGCTCCTTGTCCTCGAACGTGCTCTGCCCCTTCCTTTGCCTCCTGCACCCTGCTGGACTCCGGCGCTTCCAGCCTGTGTGTGCCCTCCCTGTGCTGCCCAGGCACACAGCGCCATCCCTGCTCTCCTCTGCCAGCCTCATCCCCCCCCAAAAAAACCTCACTCCCCCCCAGCACTTCCTCCAAGCAAAATATCCGTGCCAGGAGCATCTCTGAGCAGCAGCAAATCCGTCCTGCAGAGCGCTTGGCACAGGAGCCACGCGAGGCTTTTGCTCTCTGGCTTCCTCCGGGGCTGGATTTCACCCCACAGTCCCAGAGCTCTGAGCCAAAGAAGATTTGTAGGTGGAATAAAACAGTTTCCTTCTATTTGCATTAACCAAAATCCCTTGGCATGGCTAATAATTGTAGGTACGGATGGATGCCTGGAACAAATGTGTCAGGAACTAGGGGAGGGAGAAGAGAATCTGTGTATTTAGAGAGCAAAAGGAGAGTGAAATGCTGAACAACCTCATGCTGTGTGTGCCCTGGTCTGCTGGTAACTCCTGCAGGACAGTGAGTGTGGTGCTGCTGCTGCTGCTTCCTGGCAAACATCCGAGCTCGGACCTGTGGAGGGAAAATTATCCCCAGTTCCCTGTGATTTGAGTTGACCTGGTGCTTGTCCTTCCTCCCTGGATTTAGTTCTCTCCCATCTTCAGCTTTGTCCCTAGCAGAAGTGAAGGACTGATGTTCCAGGGCAGCTTTGCCATGAACTGGAACAGGGTATCCATGGCCATGTCCTCTCCCTTTCTGCACCTCGCTGGCCCCCTGCAGCCAGAGCTGAATTCACAATCTGTTAATGGGATCAGGATCTGTTAATGGTGCTGCCCTGCTCTGCCTCTGCTCCTACCAGTCTCCCACAGGAGCTGCTGCTCCTCTTCTATTTGACATGGTGAAGGCAAGAGCCCAGCTCCTTCCTGAGGTCCTCATGGGGACAAATTAAATTTGGATTGTTGCTGCTCTTTTCTCATCCCCCTTTCCAGAGGTGGGTTGGCTGAGGCTGGGGGTCTGCCTGCCCTTGCTGCTGCAGAGGAGATGTTCCCTCTGTGTTCCCCAGCAAAGAAGTCCCACATCCCTTTCAACTCCCAGCTTTTCCCTCAGCAAAGCAAACCGGTGGGTTTGTATGGCAGGTGGGAGGACTGGAGTCACTGGGGAGGAGAGAAAATCCCCTTGGTCTTCCCCTGCCACTCACTGTGCCACCAGAACATGCAGAACCGCAGCTGCTCTTCCTTCTGCTGCCCTCACCTCGTTTCCTTTAATCCTCGCACTGCCCTTTATCTGAACTGCCGGGCGTGTCCCGCCTGTGGCTCACACAGCCCGATCCTGCACCCGGGCAGCACGGGAGGCATCCACCTGATCCCTGAATCCTGATTCCTGAATCCTGATTCCTGATCCCTGAATCCTGATTCCTGATCCCTGAATCCTGATCCCTGAATCCTGATCCCTGATCCCTGATCCCCGATCCCTGAATCCTGATTCCTGATCCCTGATCCCTGAATCCAGAGCAGGGATGCTCTGGCTCCCCATCCCTCAGAGCACTGTGCCCGGCCAAGGTTATCAGTGATTTATTAAGTGTCACAAACTCAGCCAGGCCAGGAGGGCTGGTGTTTCCTCCTGAGCAACGGGGCTGTCACATCTTCAGGGGGGTTTGTGTCACCCGGGCTGGGGGGCTGTGCTCAGCCAGGGGCTGCCCCAGCCTTTGGATGCAGCCAGAGCACAACAACAACATCAGGAATAATCACATGTGCCCTCATGGCCACGAAGCGGAGAGGGGAAATCACGGCTATTTTTAGTTGGGAGCAGCCTGGTTTCCTTAAAATGCGAGTCCCAGATTTTTATATTTTTCCTGCACCTCAGAGGTCACTTCCCTCCCAAAAAACCAAAAACCCTGACAGGAAAAGGAGTTGTCCTTGAGACCTCTGCCCTGATGCAACTCCTGCAGAAGCTGGGGGACAGAGGGGATGTCTGGGGGCAGCAGGAATGCCGGGAGCTGTAGGGATGCTGGGGGAGCAGCAGCCAAAAAAGCCTCAGTTCCAGGCTGTTGGCTGAGGGCACAGGTCTCCAGGCTGAGCCAGAACCCAGAGCTTTAAGTTTAGGAGCTTGTTTTCATTTTGA